TTTTTTCCCCAAAATAAAATCAAGGTCTTTTTATTTTGACAATTGCAAATTGTTTTTAACTTAGACATTTGAAAACATGTGGTAAAATGCATTCTGTTAGACAGTGAATTGAAAAATGTCATTAAAAAAATCAGTTCTTATTTTTGTAACACTGAAGCTTTTTTTGAAAACTCTCTAAAGCAAATTGGTTGAAGTTGATCCTTTTCTAGAGAAAGTTTCTTTTTGTTGAATTGCATTTTTTTACAAAAGCAATGCGAAATTGCCAAGCAGTGTCACCAAGGAGTAACTGATGTTTTCCTTTCATTCCAGAGTGGAAGATGATTTAGAGAAACTCTTGAAAATAACCTCAAAACCCAAACCTAAGGTACCACCAAAACCGCGCTTACCTCAGAAGCCAGTAGTCGCACCCAGGAAGAACATGAATTCATCTCAACTGGCAAAGCCAAAGGAAGACAAGATTCAAACAATGAACGAAGTGGACATTCTCCAGTATATCCAGGAAAATGAATCTATTGACAATGAAGATGCAAGTCTCTTCTGAATATAGTTTTAAAATGTAGTGAGGCTTCTCAGTTCAAACTCTCATTGAGCTCAAGTGATAGTAGGAAGAATTGGCCAGATCACTTTAATGTCACAGTGTCCATTTATGTGTCATGATTCAGAGACCAGCAAGTTTGACTTGCACAAGAATGACCTGATGCTTTTAAAACAGAGCAGCTGTGGTGTAACATTGCCTTAGATTTCAGGGCTTTACAGAGGATGTGTACAAGGACATGGCACTGTCAATTATGTCTAGTAGAGTCACATAACAAGTCATTTTAGTATCAACAGCACAGTTTTGGGCAGTTTAGTCCTAATTGAAAATGCAGCACATGTGGCAAGTATGGATAGTGTCCAACAAATGGTCTGGAGCAGGACAGAATTCTGCTTCTGCTGTTTTACACAATATACTTCAGCTCGCCAGAAAGGCTGTGTTCGTTTTCTCCTATGCATTATTTAGCAACCCTTTCCTCTCTCACCGGTATTTCAGTATTCATAACCCATAACTGTTAAGTATGGGTAAAAGTTCCTTTGTAGTTCAGAGGAATACTGAAATGCCAGGTAAGCCTGACTGCTCTGCTGCCTTCGTAGCTGCACAACTGCTTGTAGGAGAGCTGGTAGGACTGCAGACATGAGGCACTGTGCACCTGTAGCTCTTGAGGAGAATGGCGTGTGGCAGAACATGGCTAAGAGAGCAGCTCCAGACATCCAGGGAGATAGATTGCCACGAATAGGAGATTTGGGTGCTGGAGGACTCGCGATTCACAAAGGCCAACTTTTGCCAGACAAGTTTTCCTGGATTTATCTCTATAGTCAGTGGAGAGAGAGTCCTCCAGAAGGTGATTTAGTGCAGATATCCTAATTGAGGAACTCTGAATTGGTCTCTGGAGTCCCTCTCTCTCTCGCCCTCCCTTCTATAATTTAAGGAAGGAGCCATGATGATTAATTCCACTAAGCCAAAATGAGTCTTCTGATAAAAAAAAAGTTCCCTCATTACTGTGGTAATCCTTTTCACAAGGCAAGAACAACTTTGGAATTAGCCAGAGGGAAAAAAGAAAAGGGAAGGAAATATACCGGAGAAATTTTAATATGCAAGAAAAGTGAGAAATACATGTTAGAACAGGCAACCTGGTCTATTTGTTTTCTTCAAGGCCTAAGACTCACTGGCTCAATGTATTAAATTTACATGTTATGTATGTGGGTTGATAACTTCTGTTATATAGAAAGAAACTCCTGAATTCCTGCTACCTGTGATCTATACAACTGTGGAGAAAAGCTCTCCAGAGAAAAATATACTAATATATAAAAGCCATATCACTATCCCTAAATCTGCCTTTTAATATAGAACAGAATGAATAGAAAGTCTTATATATATATGCCTATATTTTTAATAATGAAATTATTTCTATTGGTGTTTTTGCTTTAAGACAATGAAAATTATGGTAGAGGTATTATGGGTTGATGGGACTAGTAAAATAAAACCATTGGCTCTGCTTTATGTAAAACAGGTTTCAGTATAATAAAACATTTTGCTGATCTGCAAGTGTTGTTGCTTTCTAGGTTGTAGAGCAACAGATGAGAGTTAAAGGATGGATCCCATTGAAGACATGGGCAGCATTACCTGGTGTTAAAGCACTAGCTCATTTAAAACCCTATGTAAATACATATCACGCCAGGAACATAGCTGAGGTCATATTCCCTTTGAGAGCAGCCAGAGGGAAAATTATATATGGGCAAAGCTGGTACCTGCCCCACTCTGTGTTATCAACATGTCCTGGTGCAGATAGGAGCTTTGTTTATACCCATTCGGCTGAAGGAGACAAAGGTACTAAAGGCACAAAAAAGTGACTGCCCAGAGACCACACAGAGAACAGCAGACAAGGGACATTCAGGACAGCCTTCCTGTGGCACTAGCTGTTGTCCTGAACAGCCACAGTCTGTTTGCAGTCTTCATCTCCCCTTTCTTCTGCAGTGCTTGGGAGTCCGTTTTGGTATTTTTGGCCTGCTGCCCAGCACATGGCTTGAGCACTACTAAAACTACCATTCCAAGGGTCAGCGTGAATTTAATGATTAATAGACTGACTGCAAATCGTTGCCTTTAAACAGAAAGGGGAAATTATTAAAGTTCCCTGGGATAAATTAGAGAAATAATAGGACAGAGCTAGAACAGACCCGGGAAGCCCTGTTTGCAGGAACACCTAGTCCGTGTCCCGCTGGTGGCAGTGGTGCAGGATGAGGTTCTGCTGGTGTGAGCTAGCAGGGTTGGCTGGTGCCAGAGGACTGCGTGGTGGTTGAGGGCAGTCAGGCTGCAGCAATGCCTGATTATGGAAACTGAATTCATTATGCACTGCCTCTAATTATGTCTGTGTTACTTCTCAGAGATGCTTTTCTAAGCTGCCCTGAGAAGCTTGGCAGGCTCGGCGCCATGCTGGGTACGTCCCAGCCTCTCTGAGTGTGCTGTTACAGTACTTTGCCATCTTGATTATTAGAAATGTTTTTCTAGCATCTGAAGTAGTTGTCCTCACAACCATACACAGAGGACAAGGTATCCCCTTCCTCTTCACACTAGGCTGAGATCTCTGAGGAACCTTGATATGTTCCTTTCGGTCTCTTCTAGACTAAACAGCTCCCTGCAGTGAGACAAGCAGCAAGATAGTTAGGACATCACTGAGGTGTCAGCTTCTCAGAGCTTGGTGTCTCCCAGCTAGTTGTTGTCATTTTGCATTGATCTTCTCTGTTTTTAGAAGAATTACTTTCTCTCCACATACCAGTTTACCCGGGGCACCCCCATCATTAACAGCTCAGTGCATTGACACAATTGCAGCCTTTGTGTTCCCCCCATTTTCTCATTCCTCATAGCAATGATGACATCTGTCCACCTTCCTCTGCTGCTCAGCTGCTCTGTTCAGAAATGGCTCGTGCTTCCAGAGAACAGGAGGAGGACAGGCATGGTACATCACCATTTCAACCATGGGAATTCCCAGTTCTGCTGACGTAGCAGCAGCAGGGCTGTATCCATTTTGAACGGTCAAGGAATACTTCGCCCCTGGCTGTCCTCAGAATTGACTAATTAAGGAAACAAGGCAGGGAAAGGAGAACCATTGGTTATTGCCTGAGGTAGATGTGTAGGATGATTTTAGGATCAGCATTCTACATCAGAAAGATCTATCCTTCCTGTCAAGTAACTAACATAAAACGACCCTTCATAAATCCTGGCATCACACATTTGTTTTACAATGCAAATGTCTAGCTCCAGTAATATTTATAGACACTTAGAGGTGAGTTACAGTCCTTGAATAAATTATATATAATGAATCATTATTATACAACAGGAGAATGCCAGGCAAATGTAGCCCAGAAAAATTGAGCATGCTATTTGAAGTGACATCAGGAAACGACACAACAAACTTTGGATCCTGCTAGACAAGAGGGGTTTTTTTATATATATACACATACATCACTCCTAGCAGCAACTATTTTATTAGCCTGCTCTTGACAACTCTTGAAATTCAATTATGGACTCTAATGTAGTTTTTGGCTGACAAACATCACCTTTCAGCACGGGTGATAGCTAGCTCATCAGAAGATTTGAAAAGCCATAGAGTTAAATTTAAACCCTTACAACAGATGTTTTCTTTAGTGATTAGAACTTATAATAGGTATCTCTACTGCTTTAGAAACTTCTTGTTCTGGATAACCTTCTTCTGCTTGTTAAGGACTAATGAATGAATAACACTGTATCCTTAAATATCCAGTTCATAGTTTAAAATGCTGATTCCATGGACTAGGTATAAAAGCTCTCTGTCCTGTTAGGTCAGCTGTTCTGTGCTAAGTTTTAAGGAAAAGCAATTGCCACAGCGGTTATGGCATAGTTCATCCTTTGACACTGTCAATGGGTCTAAAAATGCATCAAACAAAACTGATATTTCTGCATCTTTGCTCAACTTGCTAAAATAGAATACATGTGTTAGCCTGTGATTTAAAGCAATGAAAATCCAGCACATTTACAGGGCATTTAGGCAGTGGTGAATAACAGGAGACTGTAAATGACCAATGCCCTCTAGTCATGAGATTCAATGTAGAAGATAAAAATGCGTTAATAGGTGATTTGAGAATCTAGACTGTCACTAGTTTTGCAAAAAAATCTTGGATTGTTTTCCATGTATGTTGAATGAACTGTTTACCATGCATGAGAGCATGCACATATTTGTGACAGTTAAAAAGAAGAAAGAGGGTTTTATTGTGGTTTTGCTGTGGGGGTCTGCCTATATTTTACGTTTTTTTTTCTCAACAGCAACAACAGGAGTGAATGCAGTCATTTGATTGCCTTCTCTATTGCAACAATTCCTTCCTTCATTTGTCTTTAAACCCTTCCTGGTCCAAATTATTCAGCCCTTCCCATATTATTAATCTTTCTTTATAACCCACCACATACCCACCTAGTATAGGATGCCATATTTTGAAGCAAGTGAGGAATTCAAAGCACAAATGAAGGGAAATGTGTGCTTTTGTGTCTGAGAGTTATCTGTAGGAAACATTACTTTGAATAGAAGTACTAGCAATGAAATGGTATGATGGTAAATTAAATTATTAATCAAATTAAGTTCTGCTGAGGGACTGCAGAAGTCAATGATGCTGCTTAAAGGATTGATGGCCTCTGATAAAGACTGTGTTGTTTTTGTACCATGCTGAAAGTTTATATGAGGTCAAGGAAACACTGGCTAGGTTCATGGAAGAGAACTCTCTCAAGGGTTGCTGAAAGTGCCAATTAATGTTCAGGAAGGCCTTTAATGTGCAAGTTACTGGAAGATACGAGAACATAGTAAGCAATAGCCTCACACTTCCCTGTAGTCATCTGCTTTTGGCCATTGCGATGACTATCATAGCAGGCTAGATGAAACCTGGGAGGGTTGTATGCAGTCAAGGCCTACACTGCATGAGTCGCCCAGTGAAGATTTGGTGACTGAAGGAACCAAACATCCTGAGCACATTTTCAACTTGCTTCCCGG